GCTTTACCAAGCACACAGGTTTCCCCTGCAGGACTCTTACCTTCTCTAAGTAATGTGCAGTCTGTTGGTCTTGAGGTGTCAGTATTATTTCTCCCTTCAGGTTGACTGTAATGGAAAGTTTGAGCTCTGGTTGTTCTTTTTCCATCGCCGTTACTACTCCATATGCTGTAGGAAAGTGGTCGGTCTGCATGATCTTGAATTTCGGAAGAAGTGCAGAGGCTGGCGATGTCTGGTGTGAGACTGGTGGTGTCCTCCCCTGTCCCATACTGCTGTCCTGCGGCTGGGCTGTGGAGAGAGGAACAATGGCCGACATTGGCTGGCGTGAAACCGGTGGTGTCCTCTCCTGACTCATACTGCCGTCCCGCGGCAGCGTTGCGGACAGAGAAGCATTGACTGACACTGGCTGGTGTGTGACTGACGCTGTCCTCTCTAGGTCCATTACGTCCGCTGACTTGCTGGTAGAAGCAAGTGGTAAAGCCTCGATAGCAGTTTTCTTTGGGGCCTGCTGCACATCGGTCCCCCGTCCTTCCTCGTCCGAAAGCTGCTTCCATTCCCTCTTGCGCTGAGCCTTCCCCATGGCTCTCTACACGTAGTGAGAACCGACTCAAACCACCGGAGCAGCAGGCGACACGTCCTCACTGCACGGTAGCTCAGGAGCAACTCCACTGATTGATGAAGATTAAGCCACCTAAAAAGGTGGCACGGGCATGAATAGCCCGTAAGTGGTGGCCCTTTTAAGCCATTACCAGTATCAAGAGCTGATACTGGAGATCTGTGGAGGTGCGAATGCACCCTGCATGACGGGAGATGTCTCCCTTGTGAATGTGTTAAGATGAAGATGAAGCCACCCAAAAGGTGGCACAGGCATGAATAGCTCGTAAGTGGTGGCCCTTTTGAGCCATCACCAGTATCAATAGATGATACTGGAGATCTGTGGAGGTGCGACTGCACCCTGCGTGACGGGAGATGTCTCCCGGACCTAATGGTGACCAGATGGTCTTGATTGATGAAGATGAAGCCACCTAAAAGGTGGCACGGGCATGAATAGCTCGTAAGTGGTGGCCCTTTTGAGCCATTACCAGTATCAAGAGCTGATGCTGGAGATCTGTGGAGGCGCGACTGCACCCTGCGTGACGGGAGATGTCTCCCGGACCAAGTGGTCCAACTCCACTATCAACTGGCTGGTCAATAGTGGCCATAAGATACAGCTTACGCCATCTGTTGACATCAAATTACACTTATAACAAATTACCCCACAAAATACCACTAACGCCATCTAGTTTTTTTCCAACGCACTATAAATAGCCAAACAGCAACCCATAAGGCGGGTTGTTGTGCTCGGGTAGGAGGTTCCAAGCTCCGCCCACAAGAGGTATGGGGTGCATAATAAATGGCATATCATTGGTAGAAACTCTTTGTTGACATTCACACAACAGCCAATCACAGGAAGGGATCAGCTAAAGGCTCCATCCACTTAATAAATCATCTTTATTCAGCACACCATCCTTGCTTATGACATTCTGCTTCAACTTTAATCTACCTAAAAAGTGAAATGTTAAGTATTTAAAAGTATTAATATAGTAATAATTAAATACTGCAGGATGTAACGAGTGTTACAGAAACATGGGCTGGCTACCTAACTTGTGACGTCATCAGTGGGTGTTGCCTCACACAAATAATATCGGCGATACAATGCCTCCGTCCTCTTATTGGTCTACATTATTCAGTTAGAAGGAAATTTGTCTTGTATAAAACAGAAATTGTTGTTCTTTTGTACAACAACAAGGTTATTGAACAAAAGGATGTATTTCTTATTTTGCATTTTATTCATATAAGAGTTGGCATTCCCCGCAACAGCCAATCACAGGAATGTATTTGTTGGAAACTCTGCTTTCAACAAAAATGATTCCTAATGAACTCTAACAATAAATTCGTTTAATAAACGAGTATTTAGGGTCAAGCTACAGATGAACATAATAGGATAACGGTGTTTTAGCTTGCAGCTTCGTTAGACAGAATCCCTGATCTTAAGTTTAAAAATAAAGAACTAGAAAGCGTCTAATTCTGCAGAAACCTAAAGGTTAACTGGTACTAGAATTAAGGCCGAGTGCAAATGTGTAGTAATTATATAACACTAGGATATAACAGGCAGGACACAAAGAATAACTAATAAGTGAGAGACCACATAACACGTAATGTACCCGGCCAAGAGGCCGTAAAAGACCTAATGGATAAGGAGAAGGGGGTGTGACTACAAGTAGGGCTTACCGGGGGGGGGTCCGGCCGCTGGCCTGCGGTGGGGGTGCAGCGCCGGTCCCCAAGTGTCCCGCTGTCCGCAGCTAATACTTTGCCCAGTCTAGGTGCTAGTAAGCCCTACTTGTAGTCACACCCCCTTCTCCTTATCCATTAGGTCTTTTACGGCCTCTTGGCCGGGTACATTACGTGTTATGTGGTCTCTCACTTATTAGTTATTCTTTGTGTCCTGCCTGTTATATCCTAGTGTTATATAATTACTACACATTTGCACTCGGCCTTAATTCTAGTACCAGTTAACCTTTAGGTTTCTGCAGAATTAGTTTCCATGTCACTATAGGCTAAGGTCTCATACTTACTACGGGTGTACCTTTTAAGTTAAATCTAGTCCTCGGACTTGGAATTGTTACTGTTAATTCTTACTTTATATATTTACTTTATATATTTTAATATAAACGTTATATAGTCCTTAAATTATATATTTTGAAACTTTATATATTTACATGTTCAATATTAAGTTTAATAATATCAACTTTGTTATAAGCCTATAATATAAACCGTGTTTAATATAAACTTTATATAATTACTTACTTTATATTTGAACTTTATACATTTACATGTTCTGCAGAATTTAATCTTCAATAAACTTTAACGCCCCATACTGCCAGTATCTTTCTCCCCCTGGTCAGAAAATGGTCACTGCTTGATCGCAAGCGGGGATTTTTCTGGCGGGGGAGAAAGAAACAATTGCGCAGCGCGTTGCGCGGGCAGTTTGGGGCCTGTATAAATACGGGCGCACACTGGGGCTCTGCCTCACTCCGCCTGCCCTCGCAAAACCCCACCCTCCCCCCCTTTGCAAGCGGCTGCTTTTGTACCCCCGTCATGCTTTGCACAGTTGTCCCGATTGTCTCCCCACTGCATGTAGGAAGGGGGGTGCAGCGCCGGTCCCCAAGTGTCCCGCTGTCCGCAGCTAATACTTTGCCCAGTCTAGGTGCTAGTAAGCCCTACTTGTAGTCACACCCCCTTCTCCTTATCCATTAGGTCTTTTACGGCCTCTTGGCCGGGTACATTACGTGTTATGTGGTCTCTCACTTATTAGTTATTCTTTGTGTCCTGCCTGTTATATCCTAGTGTTATATAATTACTACACATTTGCACTCGGCCTTAATTCTAGTACCAGTTAACCTTTAGGTTTCTGCAGAATTAGTTTCCATGTCACTATAGGCTAAGGTCTCATACTTACTACGGGTGTACCTTTTAAGTTAAATCTAGTCCTCGGACTTGGAATTGTTACTGTTAATTCTTACTTTATATATTTACTTTATATATTTTAATATAAACGTTATATAGTCCTTAAATTATATATTTTGAAACTTTATATATTTACATGTTCAATATTAAGTTTAATAATATCAACTTTGTTATAAGCCTATAATATAAACCGTGTTTAATATAAACTTTATATAATTACTTACTTTATATTTGAACTTTATACATTTACATGTTCTGCAGAATTTAATCTTCAATAAACTTTAACGCCCCATACTGCCAGTATCTTTCTCCCCCTGGTCAGAAAAGCGTATTTTATTGCTAACTTTTCGAGAAATAAATCCCAGTCTCATATTTGCATATGTAACGTTTCTATTGTTACGTAAAGTATGGTGACAAATAAACACAGACACTAAGATACTATATATATATATTTGGTCGAATATACAGAAGTACACAGGTGGTACGTTGGTGTGAGTTGAGCGCACTGAGCGTTGGTACAGTATCTCGCAAGTGTCTGCTCTAGACCACACTTGAAAGTAGACTAGTTAGTGTTTGCTATTCTTGCTGCTTATATTGCTCGGGCAACACCTCACCGTGTTGCCCGGGCAACGCCTCACCTCATTCATCTCCAAAGATTGACAGGAATATTAACACTATATTTGGAGCGAGTATGTTATTGGGATAATCTACTCGCTACAGAACTCCCCCTCCCAGGGGATGAAAGGAAAAATACTTGATCAAGGAACTTAGCTGGTCGGTGAATTGTACGCCCTGCTCGCGTTACATAACCATCAAAGTTAACTTCCTCCTCTTCGCTGATGTCATCTAACTGGGGTCGTAGGGTGGGAGGACGTACAGGATCGTCCGTTGTCGTAGGTGGCGGTGCTGCTGGTAGCTGTGGTCGAAAAGTGAACTGCGTAGTCGGCGGATGTGTCTCTGGATTTAGCAGTGTCGCAGACGTTGAGACGAAGCCTGGAGCAGAGCAGAGAGCTGAGTGAGGCCGGAGTCGTGGAGCTCTATGTGGGAGAGCGTGGCGGCTCGATTGAGATTTGTGAGTGTCTAAACTCGGGGAGCGAGAGCGTGGCGGCTCGATGCGGTCGTAGTCTGCTGTCTGCTCTGTGTCGAAGCTGTAGCGTCTTGGGTTGATTAGGACTGTACACGCCGAGTACTACATTGTTGACTGTGGAAATTGTAGTCTGGTACTAAAAGATGTAGGCAGTGTGTGGACAAGCTCGGTGTAGCAGGAGAGAAGAATGTGCATAATTGTTGCGTCCTTGGGTCGCTGGTGGAGCATTTAGATCCGGGGCGGATGGGCTCGGGCACCAGGACATTAAGGTAATGTAGGCACGTAGTTAGGACAACGAGGTAATCACTGCTAGAGCTGAATTGTCCTGGAGGCGACGAAGAGTCGGAAACGCAAGCTGTAAGTCCTGTACTGCGCAAAGGGCTTGAGTCGGCAGAGTATCAGAATGCAGTGAACGTGTAGATGAATCTGATGACAGCAGCTTTCGTGGGAGTCCCTGTAGAACAAGCAGTGCCCTGGCAGCGACGGAGAGGAGGCAGGACAGGCTGTAGATCCCACATGATGTAGTTGCTGATGAAACTGTCAGATGAGTAAGTAACATTCGCTGTGCAGCAAGCTGTAGTTGATGAAAATGCCGAGATGATCGCGATGTAAATCATAGCTGTGGCGAGGGTGTTGGCAACGTTCCAAGACAGGTGGCTGCGGTCCACAGCCAGCAACAGCAGTAGAGGTCCAGTGAGAATCCATGTCGTAGTCCGTCGTGGCTGGGTATCGTCGAAACTCTCTGGGGTCACCAATGTAACGTTTCTATTGTTACGTAAAGTATGGTGACAAATAAACACAGACACTACGATACTATATATATATTTGGTCGAATATACAGAAGTACACAGGTGGTACGTTGGTGTGAGTTGAGCGCACTGAGCGTTGGTACAGTATCTCGCAAGTGTCTGCTCTAGACCACACTTGAAAGTAGACTAGTTAGTGTTCGCTATTCTTGCTGCTTATATTGCTCGGGCAACACCTCACTGTGTTGCCCGGGCAACGCCTCACCTCATTCATCTCCAAAGATTGACAGGAATATTAACACTATATTTGGAGCGAGTATGTTATTGGGATAATCTACTCGCTACACATATATTTAGGCATTGATTTTTTGGCTTAAGTTGTTATCATAATCCCTTTTGCAATCTCAACACCATCTGGCTCGTATCTTGTAACTATCTTCGTTACTTAGCCTCAAAACCTTACATTTGTCTTATATATCCTCAACAGTAGATAAAAGAATTGCAAATATAGCAAGCAAATATATATATATTTATATTTTTAATTTGAGATTTGCTATTTACCATAGAAAACGTAAGTATCGTTGGAGCAAAAGAAGCGATTGTCCACCATCAACACAAGAGCCCAGCCCTTCACCCAGCCCAACATCTGTAGTTACCAGTCGTAGAGTTCTCAGTGGCATTCAGGAGACCAAATGGATCCCCAGATTTCAAGATCAAGATTAGAGATCAACTTCATACGACTTCTGGAGGAAACACAGCAGATGGCCAATGGAAACAAACAGAAAGATTGGACTTTCGAAAAGGTTAGTTTGTGGTTACCTTAGGTTTTATTTACTTATTTATATATATACAAAAAGGTACATTGGGATTGTGAGGACACATAGCATAGTAATAACATTCATAACAATAACAATAACATTCAAGATAAAAGTTATCTTGAGATGATTTCGGGGGCTTAGGGGTCCCCGCGGCCTGGCCCTCGACTAGGTCTCCTTTTTGTTACACATCCCCAGGAAGCAGCCCGTAGCAGCTGTCTAACTCCCAGATACCTATTTACCGCCAGGTGACAGGGGGCATCAGGGTGAAAGAAACTGCCAATTTGTTTCCGCTTCCGCTGGGGAACGAACCCAGAACCTTAAGACTATGAATCCAGAGTGTTATCCACTCGGCTGTCAGGGAGAGGGACCTATATCGGGCAACAGGCAGCCAGTATATATATATATATATATATATATATATATATATATATATATATATATATATATATATATATATATATTGTGACATGAAAGAATAGAGCAGTGTGCTATTCTACCTGGTGGAAAGCCTATCACATTAAATACAATAAAGTAAAACAAAGTAAATAAAACTGCTTCTGACCTCTTTATGGTGTGAGTTGCAGGATAAATTCAAAAAAAAATTAAAAAAATTAAATATTTAATATAACAAAAATGACTAACAACAAATAATACAATTCCTCTATGATACTTGGTAAGAACACAAAATACAATGCAAAAGAAATATAAACATGTGACAGTTACGTTAATAGCAAAATTAAAGGTGCAGGACATATATTCTATACAAAAGCTGCTCGAGTCTACCGACACCCAGGGGAGCATGAGTAGATCTTGCAGCTTGGAGCACTAAGAGTATTCTGAGGTCTGGCCGGTGGCGAGCTGCTTATATACACGGCCAGGTCCTAGTGTAGGTGGCACTGATGTGCAGGTAATTGTTGCCGGCAGTCTCAAACAAGCAGTTAGGCGGGTCTGCTGTCCAGACAGCAGGTGTGCAGGTGTGTCGGGTACTAGAGGGGGAAAGGGGGGTGATGCTGTCTGTCTAGACACAGCTTCTGAGTATGTATTGTTGTTGTTCTTGATGTTGATTTCTTACACTGGAGTATGCAGATATGTTGTTGAATAGGCAGTAAAGAAATAGGCACAATCTCCTTGCCTAAGCAAGAGATTATCATAACAATATATATACAAATTAGGCTTATGAAAAGGTGACTTCTCCCCTCCCCATGGCATTGGAAAGACAGTAGGGAACCCCAGCAAGGGTGAAGAGGCAGTGGCAAGGAGATGAACCTAACTCCAAATGCTGCAGGTAAGGAGGCGATGGCTGGATCACTAAACGGAAAACTCCAGGCTGCATGGGAGAAAAGAAATAACTCTAGCAAGGTGGAGGAGAGAACTGCAGCATGCAGGGTGGAAAACCTGGAGAGGAGGTGCGCTGAGAGGGCACTTTGCACTTTCAGTTGGAATACCAGAGAAGCTTTAAATGAATTGACCTAAATTTACCTGAGGGCCACTAACACTAGTGGCCTTTACGAAGACAGGAAGCTAGCGGCTTATCGCTGCTTCCTCTTCCCCCTCATTTGCCTTTAATGATCTTTTCCATTTGGAGTTTAAAATTTAACAGTTTTGTAATTTACAACTTCGGCGGATTGAATGAATTATAGGAAGTTCAACTTCAATTTGAATTTAGCTCAAACAAGAAAAGTTGACATAACTTTTTAAAAAAAATACACAAATGTGATTTTTTGATAACCCCATCAAAAGAGTCTTTGATGGGTTATGAAAATTTTCTTAAACCAAATTTAACTTGATTGGATAATAGATGTAGCTTTCAATTGACTTTCACAAACCAGTTCTCTGTTATGATTGAATATTTTTAAAATGTTTTTGTTTAGATTTACTTTAGATTTACTTTTACTTAACTATTGACTTACTAGTTGCTGGTGAGTGTAAAACGTGGAGAAACCCACTATGGGGGAAAATGGCAATGATTTTGATGTATGATGTTATTAAAAACAATACCCAGTACTGTAACTGTAATTTTTGTTAATATAATTAGTGCTAGGTACTGCTAAATATTTTGGACACCTTGATTCATATTCATTGCCATTATCTTCCAGTGGATGGAGGATCGGAACTTGATAATACTGTATGGGAGCCAGACAGGAACGGCACAGGAAGTAGCTGAGAGAATTGGCCGAGAGTCTCGTCGCTACTACTTCATTCCACGAGTGGCTTCAATGGATGACTTTCCAGTTGAAGAACTAACCAAGACATCACTAGCAGTGTTTGTTGCCTCGACAACAGGGCAGGGTGATGATCCAGATAATATGAAAACATTTTTTAGAACTCTGTGGTCACAGAGAAAATATAAACAATTATTGTCCAATCTCAAATTTGGTGTCCTTGGCCTGGGTGATTCATCATATCAGAAATTTAATTATGTCGCTAAAAGACTGAATAATTTGTTGACATTGTTAGGTGGTATGCCTATTTTGAAAATTGGGCTCGGTGATGATCAGCACGATCTAGGGCCAGATTATGTCATAGACCCATGGTTGAATAATTGGTGGAATAAAGTATTGGAATTGTATCCACTACCTGAGGGAAGAGAACCTCTGAATACTTGTGTGCTTCTACCATCGAAATATAAAGTAAGACTGGTAGGTTCAGAAGATAGGAACTGCATTATTGAAGACAAATATATGCCAGATCCTCAGGATGAAGCTAGTGCAATTAATCCATTCCTTGCAGAAGTAACAATGAATAAGAGAGTCACTTCTCCAGATCACTTCCAAGAAGTTAGGCTTTTAGAGTTTGATGTAAAATGTATGAGAACAAAACATAAACCAGGTGATGTTCTTGTGGTGCAGCCACAAAACTTAGAAGAGCATGTTGATGAGTTTATAAATGTTCTTGGATTAAATCCAGAGCAAATGTTTTACATAGATTCAAATGACCCAAATTCTTCTTTGCCTCCTATTTCCTTGCTTACACGACCTTGCACAATAAGGGAATGTGTACTGAGGTACTTAGACATCCAAGCCATTCCTAAAAGATATTTTTTTGAACTTTTATCATTTTTCACAAAGGATGAAACTGAAAGGGAAAAGTTCAAAGAATTTGCTTCAGCAGAGGGACAACAAGAACTTTATGATTACTGCAATCGACCCAAGAGAAGTATAATGGAAGTATTGGCGGACTTCCCGCATACAAAAAATAATATTCCTCTTGACTACTTATTTGATTTGATTCCTCCAATTAAACCCAGGTCATATTCCATTGCATCTTCTAACCTTGCAATACCAAACAGAGTCCAACTTCTTGTTGCTGTAGTTCAGTATCATACCATTCTTAAGCGACCAAGATTGGGCCTGTGTACAAACTGGCTGTCTAGACAGAGTGTGGGAAATCTTGTGCCTGTTTGGATTAAAGCAGGAACTTTAACTTTTCCCCCTCTTTCCTCTGAAGTCATTCCACCTGTGTTGATGATTGGTCCTGGAACAGGATGTGCTCCTTTCCGTGCATACATACAAGAAAGAGTAGCAAGTGGCTATCACAAGAATGTGGTTCTAATTTTTGGATGCAGAAATAAGGATAAAGACTACTTCTTCAAAGAGGAGTGGGAAACACTAGTAGAAGAGCAGAAGCTAAAGTTGTTTTGTGCTTTTTCTCGGGATCAAGAAGAAAAGGTGTATGTACAGCACAGGATAAGAGAAAATGCTTCTGATCTCTGGACGCTTATAGAAAACCATCGAGCAATGATTTACTTTGCTGGTAATGCTAAAAGGGTCCCAATTGATGTATATGAAGCCCTAACCTATCTATGTGAAAAAGGTAGAGGGCAAGGAAAAGAAGATGCTGAAGCATACATGAAGAAGAACGTAGAGAAAAGATACCAGACTGAAACATGGGCATGAAAAAGAAATAAATATATGTTGTATAATAGTCGAATAATGTCTGTGTGTGTGTGTGTAAATTCTACGTAGCTCTGATGCCTTACTTCCTCTCACGAGTTCCCCAATCAGGGGAACAGCAGAAATTTCTCTAAGAGGCTCTATTGCTACACAAACCTTTACTAATAGTGTATAAGCATTTTAATCCTTACCCCCCCTTCTGTTTTGTTTGAACAGTACCTATATATTGTTGCACTCTTTCCATCCCATAACACACTGCATTTGCCTCTATTGTTTGATCCCTATATTTCATCTCTGTACACTCATCTCATTAAATGATTCACAGGCATCCTACTAACATGTCTTTATCACTTCAGTGTATTGTGCTTCATCCATTCCACCACTGTTTCATATCTTCATCCCTTTCACTCATTCCACATCTCTCATACACTTCTTCATAACTTCATAACTATACCATTCCACATACAGCAGCTGCTTTTCTAAACAAACACAATTTCCACTGTTGACCAAACACACACACTAGAAGGTGAAGGGACGACGACATTTCGGTCCATCCTGGACCATTCTCAATTCGATTGACAGTGTGTGGTCTGGTCAACATTCTTCAGCCACATTATTGTGACTCATCGCCTGCACAATTTCCACTGCATGTACTCTTAGCACTCTGCCCCTTTTGTATACTCAAGTTTCACTTTTATATGTCAGGGTTATTTTCATAAGGTTAACAGTTGCCTAACTCCTGGACACCTATTTATGCTATGTGAACCGATACATTAGGTGAAAGGAAATGTCCCCAACCAATTCTGTCTCACCTGGGAATTAAATCCAGGATCCCTGATTGTGAATGGAGAATGATACCATGATACAAATACAGTACTGTACTGTTAAATGATATTTACGTTTTGTTTCAAGTGGGTTTTGTACAAAAATTAACTGTTCGTAAATGTTATCATGTGACTTCATTACAAACTGAAACTCATGCATTGTCATTGCTCAAAGTGAATAGAGCTAGGAGTGCTTGAGTTTTTTTTAAATTTTTTGGATCATTATTTTGAATGTTTTGTATTAAATGGGGCTAATAGATCCTTGCTGCAAACTAAATAAGTATTGTGTTACAGAATATATACATAATGTTAGTTATGTCTCGCATAATGTTACATAATATATACTCGAAAGATACCTGAAGGTTAGGTCCTAAATATGCACAATAAAATACAAACTTATCATCATAAAGAGTGAAATACCAATGTCAATTACCAACTTAAAATACCAACATGGAGAGCAGAAGTGGCATATTCATAATCACAAAACACATTATAATCATAAAAGGCCCACAGCTTGTCGGTCTCCTTCCTACAGGAAGGTTCTGATTGAGCTGGATTGAAATGGATATGTGGGCATGTGGGACACTCCAAGCCTTACAGGCCTTACACATCTGGGGCCAGATTCATGAAGCAGTTACGCAAGTACTTGCTTACGAGGGTGTACATCTTTCCTCAGTCTTTGATGACTTTTGTTACATTTAATACACAGTTTACAAGCATGAAAACTTCCCAATCAACTGTTGTTATTGTTATAAACAGCCTCTTGGTGTTTCCGAGCTCGTTAACTGTTTAATAATTGTAAACAAAGCCGCCAAAGATTGAGGAAAGATGTACAGGTTCGTAAGTGCTTGCGTAACTGCTTCGTGAATCTGGCCCCAAGTTATAACAAAACAAGCCTGACCTCAGGCCAGGCTTGGGAGTAGAAAAACTGTCAAAACTGCATACAGGTATAAAATGCAGGTAAATGAAGGCCTTTTGAAAGAATGCTATGATTTATTTTGGGTAAGCTTATTTAATGAACTGTAATTGAAATGTGATATTCAAAATATATGTTATGCAGAATACTGTTTTGTCTTTTATTTCTGTTGGCCTATTCAGCATTGCTTTTAATTATGTTCATAACAGTCTGGGTATTTACGTCTTGACAATAGTCATTAGCTGTACAGTATTTACCTAGGGGGCTTAATTTCCTTCAAGCAGTCAAGTGTGTTGTTGCCCCTATGCTTTCTGTTCTGTTTTTACCTGAATTTACCAGAGGACCACCATATCTCTAGTACCTTTGACGAGGACAATAAGCCAGAGGCTTGTCAAAGGTCCCCTCATTTCTCCCGATGATTTTATCCAGGTGCATTTTGAACTACTGTACATCATTGTGCAATGTGGTTGATTTGTGATTTCCTGCTCGCCTCATCTTGAAGAATAAAACAGATTTTGATCCTGTTTTCCATTAGGTGAAGGATGAAATTTCGGAGGTTTTGTTTGTTGTGTTAGGGCTTGGTGGTACCAGAGATAAGCATGGGGAAGGTACTTATCTAGCTCTCATCCTGTAACTACACTTAGGTAATTACATTTAGGTAATTACTTGAAGCCCACAAGAATGGGTGTGTTTCACTATATTCAGCATTTCATTTATGTTTTATTAGGTTGGAATAACACTTTATTGAATACTAAAATATTGTATTACTCTGTCTTTTACAGTACATTGGATGGTTACAGGAAAAAATTCCAGAGATGGAGAAAAGTCCTAAGTAAGTGTTAACATATTGTCAAATAATCAGTATACTGTACAGTGGTACCTCAGCTTACGAATTTTATCCATTCCCAGAGATGGTTTGTAAACCGAAGTGAATTTTCACATAAGAAATAATGTAAATTGAATTAATCCGTTTCCACACTCCCAAAAATATTATCTTCAAAAGTAAATTTTTATACCTAATTCACCCAAATCTTTAGTACTAAAGTATGTACGAGTTATTGCTTACCTTTATTGATGACTCTAGTTGGCGTATGGAAGACGGTGAGGAGGAGGAGAGGCGTTAGTGTTTGGAATGGGAGTCCCCTTCCATTATAACATCAGGCAGTGATCATTTCTCTGGGGTACTCTCTCTGGTACGTTTTGCCCGCATACCACTAGGACTGTCTTGTGGCTCACTGCTTGTTTTTCTCACTAAAAATCTATCCATAGAAGCTTGTTTTTCTCTATGTTGTAAAACTTGTTAGTAGTGAGGCATCACAGTGTCATGAAAAAGGTTTGTTTTGTGATTGTTGATACACCTTTTGCCAATTTAGCACTCATAATGTCCTTTTCTTAGCAACTGCAGTGCATATCGTTGACATAGATTTGTTGTACTGCCTAGCTAGTTCAACAACCCATGTACCATTTTCATGTTTATGAAAATATCTTGTTTTTCCTCAATGGCCATCCTCACATGAGTTTTCTTGGATTAAACCTTACCACTGGCTTTCTTGGGACCCACGGCGAGATATATAATAATAACTTTTATGTTCAAATACCGAAATATCAGAAAAACATTGAAATTCTTTACAAAGAATTCAAGCATGATTGTCACTAGGCGGGAGGCACTGGTAAACTGAGGTGAGGTCACCGTGCTGCCATGCGCTAGGTCGGCAATGCATGTATCGACAAACTACATTACCCGAGGCAAAGTTCAAATCCCAATTCAGATTTTACAAAGAAATTGGGTTCGTAACCCAAAAAGTTTATAAAGAGGGGGCATTCGTAAGCCGAGGTGTCACTGTAGTACAGTATTCAGTAGTACACTCTTAAGTTTTTGTTATTTAATATACAGTACTGTATAATTGTGTGTTCTTGTTAATAAATATGCTTGTCATACATCTTTGTGATTGTTGTTGATTACTAATTTAGTTCTAATTTATATTTGTGTATAACTTGTATTTCAATGACCATTGTCTGCAAAGTTCTACCCCAAAGGATCATTATATTTAGAGGTGTATTGTTTAAGTATTGAACATTATAATATTCCACGTTTTTAAGACATTCAAGTGTGAATGTCTTCATTTCATTACCATATGCCAAAACACCCTTACAAGCTAATCTACCAAATGTTTTAATCCAGAACACCAAATGGGCAAGCTCATTCACAACAGTGTTTTGCTATAACTCCCTTGCAAGCTCATTCCCTAACACATTCCTCCGGAACACCCTTTTAAGCTTGTCTTACCACATTCCTCCAGAACACCCTTACAAGCTGATCCTTATCACATTCCCCCAGAACACCCTTACAAGCTGATCCCTAACACATTCCCCCAGAACACCCTTACAAGTTGATCCTTATCACATTCCCCCAGAACCCCCTTACAAGCTGATCCTTATCACATTCCCCCAGAACACCCTTACAAGCTGATCCCTAACACATTCCTCCAGAACAGAAGATTTAAGCTTCTGCATTTTCTGTTGGTCAAGTATTATTGAAAGGGCAACTCTTGCCATTGCTTTGGTTAATCTATAGAATATAATATGATTTTCCTTTGCTTCATCACTGCTGCCATCATCATCGCTGTGACGACCACCATAATGGTCATCTCACTATCACTGACAAATAGTTACTTTACCTGCATTGTGATTGCCAGACACACATTACCACCATTTGACTACTATTGCAGTACACTATTAATCTTGCCAATTTTTAAAATCTATTTTTTCGTCTTTCCGTAAGTGCACCAAATGAAGAAAAATTGAAGCATTATAAGAGGCAGGTGGACTTTCTAAGAGGTGTTCTTGAGACTGAAAAATGTGTAAGTATTTTTGTCACCAGTTGCAACTGAACTGCTTGAAATATTTTCAATTTGCATTGAACAGAACACAGTTGAACCTCGATTCAATGCACCTCGATTTAGCAAATCTCCAATTGGGCGTTTGGAATTATTTTTTTTTTCTGTTTTTTTATTTTGATTTTTTGGCATTTTGGATTTTTTTGTTTTTTTTGTTTCTTGGGGTTTTGGATATTTTTTCTGGGGTGTATTTCAGAATTTTCTTCCTGGGTATATGGCAACTCTTCGTATAGCTCCACTCACGTTTTTAAGGATTTTCATAGCTGGGCGCAACATTTCAAGAAATAGTAAGGGGAAAAGGAAAGCCATTGAGCATATTTAAAACCAAATTCTGTTGTTCATTTTCATTTTGAGATTCTCCAGTTTTCTTTTCTTTGAAAATGAGATTTCAAGGCTGGAAATGTGTGTGGAAATATTTCAAGTGTGGGAAATATGCTAGATGTGGTTAAATCTTTTTACAGGCAAGTTCTCTTGGTATTTGTCCATCATATGACTGGTTGAAATAAAATTTTAACTTGGTGAAATCATCCCATAGGGCACGGGAAATGCATCCTGGAGGCCTCTCCGGTTGCAACAAATCCCTCATTGCAATGAATTGGGGTTGATGCTATAAAGGTCATTGAATCGAGGTTGTATTGTATACCATTTAGAATGTGATTTGCTTCCAATGTTATATTAAATGTGACAAACA